TGCTTTAAGTCTTTGCCTTCATTGCGGCTCGTCTCTGGTCAGGTAAAGGCCAGAGAACTAGCGTTACAGGGTGCCTGCTCTTCCACAACTCCAGGCCTTCAGCTGCTGTGCCCAGGATGCCTGGAGACATGCGGAGGAGGTAAGCAGCTTTGAAGAACTCTTACTTCAAGCCTTCGGCACCATTGTAGCTCGCTTGAGTCTTTGAAAAAGACCGGAGAGCAAACACTTGGTAGCGCCGCATGGTTCATCGGGGTGGGTGCGATTATTTGATACGGGATGCGAAGTAGATCTGATATCGAGAGCCACCGCAAGGAGGTGGACTACCTGTCCACTCGTTGACGCGGTCCATGAGGCTGATGCAAGGCACGATATGAGAATCTGCAAAATTGTGGGCATATTGCCCTTAGTTTCAAAACGTGGCACATCAGCATGATACGGTACTTTTACGGTGGTTCGCAGTAGCGCGCGAAAACATGAGAAAGGGACAGAAGTTCAGCAGTTACTTGCACCCCAGATGACTCGGCTCTAGCGAATTCGCACGCCTTCCGTAGAGCGCCGGATGGCGATCAGGCCAAGACGTTCGCTGCGATATGAAAGGATCCTTTTGCTGTTTGCTCCCATGTTAATGCAATGGCCTACACAATTAACTTACTCTCAACCTGGAGATGTCCTCACATTATTAGCGTGGGCTCTTAAAACAGTTTCGGGAATCTCCTGGGTTCTCTCGAACACTCGCGGGGAAACAACAGCAAAGCCACTGCGAGAAACCAGATATGGAGGGGACTGAGCTTCTGTATGTACGTGTAACTACGTGGTATTCTCCTTTTCTATGGCCTCCGCGAGAGAACTGTCCGGGAAACCGTACAGCAGCGTGGATTTCCGAAGATTGCTTGCCCTAAGCGGCCGCTTCGGAGCATATACGACCTCGTATAGAATCTGCGGCAGCCACTGTCAGCGTCGGCATGCATGATCCAGTATGATCCTGAGTCTCACGCAATTGATGGTAGCTGATCACGCGTGACGGCAAAGAATGAGCTAAGTTTTTATCTTTTAGCTGCCCTAAAAGGCTAAGTAGTTTAGCTATTATATATTTCTCTACCTTTGACTTACTGCGTGCCAGACGCAACTGCCACCAATACGTGTACTTTTCTTATTTGGGGCTGGAACTCTCTCGTTAGGGCTTTCTATGCAGCGACCATGTCTTGCACGACACCAAGTGTGAGGGACGTTCCTGTAGCAGGGTTCTGAGAAGGTGCAGGCGGTTGTTGTACGTAAGGCGGACGAAGGCCAAAATTGTTTGTTGCTGCCGCTGTTGCTGAGGGAGGTGATTCAAAGCATGAGCAGCACAGAACAGAAAAGTGAGACAAGCAATAAGACCTCATTCAGTCTGACATTTGCACATGAGGGATTGTGCTGTCTGCCGGNGGAAGGGGCAGATGCAGTGTGGTCTGTGTCATCTCAGCACAGGATACAGTCACTTGGCCTTGATATGATGCCTTCAACCAAATGGAAATGTTCAGTAAGCAAATACAGATATAAAGCATGCAGTAAAGAAAGCTCAGCTGTGCTCACATGCGAGTCTCGCTTGCATCGCTAGCTGCTGCGAGACACGTTGCAACTCATCTCAGGCTGCCTCTTCGCCCCCAACCGCAGCTCCTAAGCTGCTGCGCACAGGATGTCTGGAAACAAGGGAGGGAGGGTAGATGCTTTGTCCGAATTCTTGCCTTTAGTATTTGGCTTCACTGAACCTGTTGAAAGTCCTAGGGGACCTCGCATGCCAGCATGCGTAAGCCTCCCTAGCTGCAGGCACTGAAACGGATACTGGAGCTTCGTCTGTATGAGGCTGGTCTGAGTATTTGTAGCGTTGCTCGTGTGAAGTTGGTCTACGCATTCCTACTCACACTATATTAGTGCATGCAGAAATATGGCTTAGCTGTACACGAACCTGGGGTTGTATTGCAGCATGAATTGCAGCAGGATGCGTGGAAACTCGCTTCATGCCACCTCCTCTCCCGCGGACCCAGGAGACTGGGCCGCCAGTCCCAGGCTGCCTGGTGAGCAGAGAGGAGCCCAGCTGCTTTTTGTAAACTCTCATCTTTAGCA